TGATCTCACAATTAGAGAGGGACCAAATTCAAAATTTGAGGCATTTTAATCAAACTAAAGCTCCATACTCTCATTCACATTTTTAGTAGTAGTATAGATATAAATATATAGATTAGATAGGGTGTGATGAGGGGCAAATTGAAAAGGACTTGAGTGAAAGTAATAAAATATTATTTTAAATGCCCTTAATTTAAAGATGGATATAATAACAAAATGGTTGGGACAATGCTGAAGATGATGATGATCGCCATGATATAGAATAGGGAGGGTCTATCAGTTGGTTTGTCTGGTGAAAAAGTCTAAGACAGAGGTGAACAGAAGCTAAAATCTGAATTGAATAAATTGAAACTGAATTTCTTATAATATATTGAATTTGGTTTTTAATTAATAGAATTTTCAAATCTGGAATATAAATTGATAATCAATACCCTAAAATTAAATTAATCGAACAAAAAACAAACCAAAACCAAAATTGTTTGTTTGATTTTTAGTTTTAATCAAGTAATGCTCACCCCTAGTTTAATATCTTTTCTTTTTATACATTGGGGAGAAATAACCAAGAAACGACAAAAATAAAAACTACCATGACATGTGGCTAGATGCCCCCATACACCAAAAAAGCAAATCAACACAAGCCTAAAATCATGAATAAAAGGGCATGAAGCCCAAACTGTGTAACCCAAGCTTGCAAATCTATTTTCCTACCAAAAAAAAAAAGCTTGCCAAATCTATCAACAACAAAGTTGGCTTCTCTCTGGATATGCCCATATGACACCGTTAGCTTGTTCTGGAGGCAGACATTGTAGCACTCACTCAGTAAGTCTTTAAAATTTCAAGGAGGGTCTTCTCTACCAATAAGGCCATTAGTGATAATTTTCGGGTCTCCTTCAATAGTTATCTTTGATCTAGTGAACCGAATATCAACTTTGTGAGCTTCATTTATCGAACAAACTCCAATATCCTTGCAAAGTATTCACCAAACTTTCTCTATCGTGTGCGTCCTCCATCTCCTCTCTTTGATGCATCAAAGTTTATTTTCAACTCTTCTGGCTCTGGCCTCATCCAACGCACCTATAAAATATATGAAGTGGAACTAAGGTTCGGGTTTAGATCTCTCAAAGCCTTGGTGTAATCTGAACACTTAAAATTAGCTTTATTAATTAAATGCTGTGGTAGCAAGCTCTTGTTTTTAAAAATTTTATCATTTTTGTTCTTCCAAATGTTCCATAGTATATTGCATATAATTTCAATAAGAGATTGGTGGTTATCTCTTTTAATTTGGCCCTGTGCAGGACCCAATCCCACCAATATTCAGGAATCCTTTCACTTTCTACTGGGGTCAAGGCTCCATTGAATAGATTATTTCAAATCCACCTTACTTCCTCGTAGTGAAGAAAAAGATGTCGGATGTCTTCCTCACCCCCCATAGAAAGGGCAATCCGCATTTCTCCACAATTCCTCACCCCATAGTGTCATTTTTATCAGTCGAGGGGATTGGAATAGTTGTAATTTTCTCCCACATCTTGTTTGATGCATTTTCCAATATTTTCCTTTGGCTTCATTGATCTCGTTTCTTTTAAGATGAATTCACTAACCGGATGAACATTATCATCATTATTGGTTCGGGGCTTGCCACCAACAATGTGTCTCTCCAAAAGTCCATAAACTCTCCATTACCAATTCTACACCCCATCCCTTTCTTTAGAATATTAATTTGTACATCCTATCCCAGGATACTCCTCCAGGCCTAGGATATATTGGTTTTAGGAGTTATCTACCAAGAAATTATCTTTTTTTAGATGTATTTATTTCCAACAACTTGGAGCCTCATATTGTTAGGTTGAGTTGGAATTTTTCAACCTAATTTTGCAATACAAGTTACATTTGTTCTGGAGGTTTTTAATATCTATTACTATTGTCACTCTCACTTCATTGTTTATTGTTCAATTTTTTTCCACAACAATATATCTTGTTATCCTCTTTCTCTCCTTCCTGAGTAAGGATATGTAATGGACTAAGAAACATTGCTTCACTACTTTTGGAACATGTTAATTAACTAGCTAGTTCAGGCAACTGGTAATCAATCTAAGGGGTGTTAGATAACATGGTTTTGTTTTTGAAAATAAAAACAACTATCACATTAGTAAAAATAATATAAATTTATTAGTGCGGTAGTTCTCAAAGTATCATTAAATCATGGTTTCTAGGTCAAACGGTCCAACTGTCCAGTCCAAGCCACGGCCAGATGGTTTTAGGGTCCAAACCAGATCTGGAACCATGACCGGTTCCTAAATCAACTAGTTCGACCATCCAATCTGATCTGATTTTCAAATCCATGCATTAAAAAGATCAATGAGGGAGAGCCTCCAGCTAAAGCATTTTTGCTGTTGTAACATATAGATTGTTGATTAGAAGTGTGATTCAACCGCCATACATTAATGATATGCTCGTGCCAAAGCTAGTAGTTCAAAACCTTCCCATATTGCCCACACACATCCATCTGCCACGATGATCTATTATAAGTATTTCCAATAGACAATCGTCAGAGGAGTATATATACTAGCTAGCTAATTTTTCGGATGGATGGTGTTCTTCAATTTTTTTTTTTTTTTTTTTTTTGGGGGGGGGGTGTTATTGTTCAAAGACTCCAAGTTCTTTCCTATCGTACCTTTCTAGTTAAGTAGCTATAACAGAAACATGAGAATAAATGCATGAAAGTCTTTCCATGATGTGGACATAGTCCACATTGAGGTGAGACTAACTTGCGTTCCCCATCCGATTAAATTAATCCTAATAGGAACTTCTCTTTTCATCCATAACAACTAAAGAAAGCATCTAGTTCGATAAATGCATGGAGATGTCCATTAGAGTTTTGTAAGCATGTGCAACGCTTAATTACCTCCTCCTATCTTCCAATGACAATATAGCACAGCTTTTGTTTTTCTTTTCTTTTTGGATAATCATATCTGGTAACAAACCTATAAACTGTCTAAATTCCAATCTCCTTCGTTAATCAGTTGAGTTACAATTGACTGGGTTGTGAAGGAAAGGTCCAGGTAATCTATATTAATTATTAAGGAAATTCCCCCACGCAAGAGTCTTTCCAAACAAGATAATCCATTTTAAGTAAGGCTATACTCTTATAGATGCCTTTTCAAGCCAAGGCAATGGAGTCAAATAAATGCCTCCCGTGTAAATACATATGGAGTAAACATTGAGCCCATAGCTGATTTTGGTGTCAATAAAGTCTCCATGATAATTTAATCAGAAAGGCTTTATATATTAAGCATAATAGAATCCTTAATAGTAAACATGTTTATGGCTCAGTTCAATAGAAGTCAGGTTTGGATAGGATTTCAGATCCGTGGGCCTAAAATATTGGGTTTGACATTTTTCAGGCCGGGTTCATTATTTTTTGTTTTGAGGTCTTTTAATATAAATAAAACAGTTTTTTATTGAATAAAAAAAAATCTTATTCAAATTTCTATCTGGGCTCAGGCCTATCAGACTTTAGGATTTATATAAGGGTTGGGCTCAGGTTCAAGACATAGATCTGATGGTTGGGCCAAGCTCAGGCTCGGGCTCGAGCCTAAACATATTCTATTAATACAAAGACAAAACCCAGCCTGACCCAACCCATGAACAGGTCTACCTTACAGTTAGGTCCCCTTTTATTTGGGTTTGGAAAGCACAACCCAATTGTAACAATTGAATTTACTGAACCACGTTATTCCCGCCCCAAACGAAATTACACTATATATAAGAGTATGTCTCCCAGATAAACTCTTAGGCTGCGTTTGGCTGCAGTGCAATTTTATTTGTACTAGTACAAATGCTTGAGTGTAAATGAAAATAATGCAAATTCTTGTTTAATTTTGTTTCGGGTTTTATTTTATTCTACTTTGTATCTTAATTTACTTCATTTATACTACAGTCAAACAAAATAAGCTAAAATTTGAAACAAAAATAGATCAGAATTTTCACTCAAATCATTTGCACGGTCATGGTTTTGCATCAGTGCAAATTTATTTGCATTGCAACCAAACACAGCCTTAGAGATTTAACTTTCCAAGTTTTCTCTTACTAATCTGCCACCCAAATACACAATTGCCAATTTATATGCAGTTTGTAGTTTGTTCTCTTTTTCTCTTGATGTACACGATCCACGTACCTTTTTTTCATTTGCTTTTGATATGCCTAACTTTTTTCTTATCAAGATGAACCAAATAGAACTCACGAGACCGGATCCCTATGTTACGAGAAAGGCACTGTTATGTTTGTGCCTTGAATTCTTTGTTGCAATCGAATTCATGAATCAGCTCTAAATTAAGTTGAGAAAAAAAATCCGAAGGCAAAATTTTGTAATGGTTTGAAGTGGAAGGATAGGGCCGTACAAACCTGATCCATGTGTGAGGTTGTGACTTGTGAGTGCACAATTCTATATTCTTCTCCATTGTTGATTTCATAATGGATTTTTACTCATTCGCCTATAGATGTAGGTTATAAGCCGAATCACATAAATCTGTATATTCTTCCTATATACTTCTCTTTATCTTTGTTTTTCTTTTATTTTTGGGTGTCATTTGAATTTATATTTTGGATTTTATGCAACAGACATGATTGGTCAAAACTCTTCCAATTCCATCCCTATTTATTACATATTACACGTTACAAGGAGATTAAGGGGATGAGGACGAAATAGGGTGAAAATGAATTCCATTGACTTTTTACCACTAAAAGTCTACACTTGTAGAGATTTGATTTCACACTTTCATATTTAAAGGGGGATGTGTGGTGGGACCATAAACATTCAATTCAATCTCTCACCGTGGGCCTCGTGTATTTTATCACTGACATGAAGTAATACAGCCCGCTACACAGCTAAAGCGTTCAACTAGTCCCAATTCTTTAAGGATATGTTTGGTTTGAAGGAAAAATAGGAAAAGGGAAGGAATATCATACCTCCCCCGCATCATAGATTTACAACTTAACACGGAATATGTAATAATAGGCTGGCACATTGTATTGCTAAACATTGAAGTGCTATGTCACTGTCTCATACATAGATTGTTCCAAAGCTTCTGAGCCCTTTGTAACAAAGGAAAGTAACAAATTAAATTCCCAGCCAAACGCAACCCGACCCATTTGGCGTGGCCATTCGTATACAGAGGAAGTACATTGATTGATCAAAAGAAACAAAGAAAGAAAAAGAAAAGAAGTTGTGGTATGATAATGCAACACAGTCAGAATAAACTGGATTGGACGTTAATAAAAAGAGAAAGAGGTTTAAAAAGCAATAGCAATGGCATTGAGAGAGAAGGCAAGGAGGCACCCGGCATTGTGTTCAAAGTTGAAACATGCACATTATTAAAGGGCATCCAGAGGATCATTGTCTGTAAGCTGTCCGTCATCACTCCTCAGACGACGGAGTTTGAATGAAGATGTTGATCTCACTGAAACCTCATGGATTGGTGGTTTATCATCTGTCGCTCGAATCAGGTTGTAGGACCACGCTCCCAATAGTGTTCCTGATATTGGCCCTACCACATACACCCAGATTCCCTTGTAATGATCGCTTGCAATGGCTGGACCTATGGTCCTAGCAGGGTTCATGGATCCACCTGATATTGGCCTGACAATCACTTTACCACAAGTTACTTACATAAACGAAACGTGTCCTGTTTTTTCGTTCTTTCATTTTTTGGGTACCAAAACAAGGAGAATTAATTAATTAATTAATTAGAGCCTTCCAAAGAAGAAAGAACCCCCACTCCCCACTCCCCACTCCCCAGGCGCCTTAGTTTCAAAGAACTCCGTAAAGCTAGTGGGCTTTTGGGCTTGACCTGCCGTAACCCAACTCCTCTGGTTGGGTAGCAAAACCTGGGCTATGAGGCAGGCCTACGAAATTGCATCTGAATAGTGGCTATGTAAGGCCCAGGCCTTGCTGTCTTAGACTCAGGACTCGGGAGCGAATGACTAAAGCCCAACATCAGTCACAGTCTCCTATCAAGTATAGAAGGACTAATTAAGGAGATTTATGGTGAATTTTCTGTGCTTACCCGGCCAAAATGGAAGTTATACAAACTGCGGATCCGACTGCTATCCCTGCTAGCTCTCCTATCTGATGATGAGAAATAAGGAAAATATAGAATTAGAAGGTAAAAGTACAAGTTCCATGCTGAAAAGGAAGCATCTGCATCGATTCGAAGTGCAAGGGAATTCAAATTTCAGAGGAGAGTTTTTACAGCTCTAGTATCGGTTGCAACGGCTGAAGTGACGAACATCATTGAAAATGTAACAACTATCTCCATGACCAAAGCTTGAACATCTGTGCCTGAAGGTGACGTAGTGCCGATGTTCTTCATTGGGTGCAGGAGTTGGTGAAGTGTAAATGAGGCAGCCAGGGATCCTGTCAGTTGAGCTGCAGCATAAAATGGAACCTGCAATTAAACATCCTACTTCAATTCCTTGTTAATTATTTCCTTTAATTAGTATTTTCCTTAGTTTATCTGCAACAATATTATAAGCGCTAGATAATGGCTATGTAAGTGTCAGGCATGAAAGGTTCTGATCTGATATCCGTCTTCAGCTTGATGGGCACTGAGTCTCATCTTAATTAGTGCTCACCAATATTAATTGGGTTCGTCCCAGTTTAAACCCCACCCAACAAAATGTAATTTTCTGTCAAATTGGAGCTGCTTGAAGGCTCAAATTTAAAATGGGCTAATAAATTCGCATCGGACCAACTTGAAACTGAACTGAAAATCAAGAAGCAACCAGAAGTCCAGAAGTATAAGTCAAACAATCAAACTCAATGAGAAGGCGGTCTGAGCGGGACAACGAATTGACCTTGTCAGACCCAACTCAATCAAAACTACTCTCTCTCTTTGCTGACCAAACCCAAACTGAACCATTCAGTCATTATCCTTTGATAAAAACAAACATGAAAGAGCTCTCATTTTCTTTCAACTTTGAAGTGGGCATTGGATAATTAACTGGGATAGGTTGTAGTTGCTTACAGTCTTGCACCGCATGCAGGGGCGTGGGTTCATAAATGATGCACCAACCAAGAACTAATTTACAGTATAGAAAGAAAATAGTTATTTTATGGCTTGACTTGCTAAGTGAATCAAATACAACTATTTATTTATAAAAAAACATTTAGGGGTATATAACTATTTATTTATAAAAAAAATATTTAGTGGGTATTCTTTGTTTGATTTTGAAAGGGGAAAATTGGTTAATGGGATTTTGATTCTTATTGACTAAGAAATTCATATTTTTTTTTTCAAATTTATGTGAGGATTAGAAAAAATTTATTTTCCTAGGTAGTAATATCCATCTCATAGGTGGATAAACAACTTTCCCACCTTGGGAGAAAGTTGTTAAAACTTAATTGAAACAAAATTTTTTATGGTTAAAATGGTCATTGTTTTATTTACTTGAAAAATAAAAAAACATGGATAAATACACTTACCCGAATAATTATTTCCTAAAGATAAGTACATTTACCCGAAAAAATAACTTACTGAATAGTGAACATGGCCTTAGGAGTTAAACCCACTCTAATAATTGAAGTACTACTTCAATTATTTTGATATAATAATAGTATCGTGGGGTTGGGGTTTCAGCTGCAGATTCGTAGATGATCCCATTTCTTACCAATTACATCCTATCAATTATTGAGTCTGCAAACATAAAGTCTACATATATCAATTATTGAGTTTATGAATACAAAGTCAACATATATCTCGGGGTGTAACTTGGGCAGGCCCAGCCCAAAATTTTATAGGGGCTGGGCTTGGATTTTTGGTCCTCGGGCCCATGAAGTTGAGTTTTTTAATTTTTTAGGCCAGGCCCTGGCCTAGCCCTTATGTAGTCAGAACCTGGCCCAAATATACACATTCATACATACATATGTACATATATATAAATTTTGCATGTATTAGAGTGGGTTTAACTCGGGTTGGAAAGGTCGGGCTTGACCTCAAGTTCAAGCCTTAAACCCAAATTTTAGGATTGGGCCCGGGTTGATCATAAACCCAGCCCAACCCTCCGGACTTGCACCCCTACATATATCCACCTTTCTTTTTTTTTTTCAAAAAAACAAAAAAACTTTTATGCTCGTCATTTTCATGATCAAAATGTCCAAATCCTGCGACGGCCTAGATTTTAAAGCCTTCACGCAATGGTTCAATTCTCTCCAGAAAGTAATAAATCTAGGAAATATCCAATGAAAATTCTACAAAAAGAAGGAACCCTTCACTAGTTAGAATGTAATTAAGAATGGAAAAAAAATCTGGCAAAATTATCTGCCTTTAATTTCTAAAGTATCGACACGTATCGATACGTATTGACCTGTTGGCTTCTAGATACGCCTCTACATAAATTGTGTCAGGTCAACCACGCCTTAAACCAGCCCCTCTGAACTGATTTCAACAAAAAAAAAATAAAAAATAAAACATAAAAAAAGCACTAACACAGGCCAATAAGCCAGTAGGCCGACACTGTCATGCATCTATATCATAATATAATTCTATCTCCATCTCTCTATCCCAATTAATACAACTTGAAAATATATTTACTTTATGAACTAGTGTGGGTGTGGAAGGTGATGATATATGGACCACAAAGGAAGTATTTCTTGTTGGCCTCTTCTTATAATAAATGGTAACGTATTTGAACAAAAATTTGACCAAACAAAGTAAAGAGAAGATTAAATTCTAAAGTTTTATTAACGTTTAATTCCAAACACCCCCTTAGTTAATTAATTAATATGCATTTGAATTGGTTTACATAGTTTTGGCTAAATTGAGCTGGTTTAGGTTGCATTGATGAATAGAGAGAGTAATGACGCCTAATTGTCATGTAAGCTCAGGGAAATTAACCGTTGAGAATGAACACCACTCTGTATTTTACACCGAACTAATAGCCACATCCCACCTTATATTGAGAACATCTCTCCTTTAATAATAAATACAAGATATATTCCCATCACTTAGCCAATTGGCCTAAATAATGCCCATGGTCCCACCATAGGCCCTACCCCTCCCCTCGCGAGTACGTTAGAACGGGGCATTTCGACACACGTACCTGTTTCCAAGGAAAGTGCCTCACGGCGGCGAATGCTAACGTGACGGCGGGGTTCATGTGCGCACCCGAAATATGTCCCACACTGTAGATCATCACGGTCACGATGAGTCCACCTGCAACCGAAGCTCCCAGCTTTGACACCTTGTGTTCATCACTTGCACTGAGTGCTGCTGAGCCACAAGTTACGAACACCAACAGAAACGTTGCCATTACCTCTGCAACCACCTGACACAGCAGACACCCCCTTCACAAATTAACAAAAGCCATGTATCGCGCATAACTGAGAAGAAAGTCACGAAGAATCCAAAAAGAATGAAAGATCAAAATACAATCCAAAATTATTAAGGAACACAGCATCCATGGAGAGAGAAACTCAAATAAAGGAAACTCAAATCATGATTACAGAAGTAAATTTCAGAGAATCAAAAGAAAAACGGGTTCTGTTTTTTTCTTTTTCAAATTGGTCATTTGCCGACCTTTCTGAGGAAGCTGGGTGGGTAATGCTCTTCAAATAATCTCCTAAGAAAACTGAAGCTTCGGTTTCTGGGTTGTGAATTTTCCACTGCAACTATGTGATGGGTCTCGTTAACATTGTTGAGATTTGAATCTGTCTTTGACATTTTCCGAAATCCGGTCCGGTCCAACCTACAAATCCTTCAAATATGATGGTTAAGGATTCTGGATTTGGCCTAAGGGTTCAGGAAGACACAGGGATACATGACGATAAAGTTCTCTCTCTCTCTCTCAATGTATGCGACGAGAGGAGAAGCGTTGAAACCTGGTGTCCTAGAGGCAGCAAGCTAGGTTTACGTCTGTGGTCCAAATTCTAATAAGATATATCACTCTCTCTCTCTCAATAATTCAGACAAGCATATATCTATACATTTTTTTTTCCTTTCTTTCTTTCCCTCAAATATATACTGTCACTCATCAAATATAAATCAAAAGGGATGAACCCATTTGAAGATGGTGGGCCAGAGAACAACCCTTCAATCAAGATCAAATGTCTTCACCCACTATGATATTAGATATATGGAAACGTTAAAATTAAAACAGTTGTTAACACACATATAACAACTAAAGAAATGTATACAAGAGCTGCTTTGTATTCATATTAGTGTTGATGGATATATGCCCATCCCAGCTTTCTATTTAATCCTTAATTTTCTTTTTGTCCAACGTTTAAGTTTGGTTGATCTCCTCCCTCGGATAAATCTTTGATCGGCAAGACAGACAAGAAAAAAAAAACTTTTGGAGTTACCGTAAGGTACGGTACAGTCCCTCTGACTAAAAGAAAATTTGGCATCAATAAAAAATTATAAATAAAATTTTATTGGCTATGACTTTTCACGTTTATGATTCCACTTGATTGATCATACATTTTTCAGATAATAGTCGAACCCTAAAAGGATTATTATTTGATTGTTGTACAATAAAATTATCAATTTTTATTTGTCCCCAATAGGAGGGAGCTTTTGATAAATTTGCTAACTAAACCTGAATTATGAGCATGATAGCATAACTTTTCTATGGAACTCCAAACTACTGGATCATCATCAGCTATATCATTGAGAGAAATCAATGATTGAGGCCTGTCCTTTTTATATGGGTTGGGCTTTGCTTGAACGACGAATATCTTAATTAGAAAGACATGGAGGATGCATGTGATAATATTTGAGGTAGAAGTTTCAATGACCTGTGATTGGGGCCACAATTTAAATGGCATCTAAAGAGAGTCATAGATTTCAAGTTTCAGAGAAGTTATATTCAATTTATTTTGTTTATGAAATATAATAATAAAGTTACTTTTAGTTAATGTTATAAATAATATATTAATATTTGATCATTTTAGTTAAATTTATTAATAACATTCAATCCGAATCTGACCTAAACCCAAAGGATAATGGATCAAATTTTAGATCTAAATATATCTGATTCAACCCAATCCTTGTGTAGCCCTGCTGATTAAATCCAAACAACTCAATAAGTAATTACGGCTTGGAGGACTTCCTAATTTGACACACACAAATAGGGATATGCACATAAAAAAACTGGACTCCAATATAATCTCTCTCTCTCCTTCCTTCGATATTCCTTCCCAGCCCGAGATCAAATCAACGCCCCACAAGATTGCCCCCTACAACACCCCACAGCACATTCCCATTATGTATTGGGAACATCTTCCAATGATAATCTCATAAATGATGATGTCATCATTGGGAGATGCTCTCATTACACGGCGAAGATGTGCTGTGGGACGTTATGGGGGGCTGATTTGAACTCACCCAGCCCTGCCGTGTAATTAACTATGTGGCACCCCTTTCTAGTCTCCCCTCACAAAAATCCCAGTTTAATTCTCTTCTATTCTTTCCTCCATTCTCGTAAAAAAAACATTGGTTTTATAAACTGTAACATTGAAAAACTTTTTTCCTAAATTATCTCTAATTTTTATTTATCCTCTCATCCACTTTCTTAATATAAAAATATAGTATATGCATAGACATTTAATTATCAACCATTATCAGTATTATATGATTTTTTTTTCTAAATTTGGAACCATTATAGTGTACGTTTTGATTCTAACAACATGAGTATCATGTTCCACTTCCACAATCACTTATTTTTTTATTTATATTCACTTTTAGTTTTGCTGCATCATTATTATTATTCACTTTTTTGTTTTATAAAAACAATGAATGACAATAATGTAATGTTCTTGAAAATGATTTTTATTTTGGTGGGATTCTATATTCTTTGGGACGATAATTATTTTATAGTTTTAGTAATTGATGATGGCTTGATCGATGCTTGTGGGGTGGGTATGAACTGTCAACTGTATGTAATAGGGTAATTTAATTAAAGCCATATCCACTACTTGCGAGGTAGGTCCATGCAACAAGTAGCAATTAATATATATTGTTTATCTAGACATTAATGTCGGGGCCAATTTGATAATTCAGTATTCGATCATATTGTTTATCTAGAGCCTAAATCCCTCAATCCTAAGGTTATGTTTGGTTTAAAGGAAAAAGTAAGGAAAGGTAGGAAAACTTTTACAAATCTTGTATGGGTTTTCCTATCTTTCCTTTTCTTTCCCTAATTTTTACTTCAAACCAAACACAGCCTAAGGGAGTAAGGGCCTTCTCTACACTACGAAGGCTTTAAATCACAAGAAAACAAAATATACATGTTTATGGGGTGTAGAGGTGCTTACAGTTCGATTAATTGAATTGTGGGTTTTTTTTGTAATCAAATTGGTATTATCGGTTTTTGGAAAATCTGTAATCGAAACCGAACTGAAACCAATCGGTTGATCGGTTTGGTTCATCAGTTTTTCAGTTTTTTTATTTTTACAATATATTTTATAAAAATATAATAAAAAATTATAAATAAATATAAAATATTATATTTTAAATAATAAATAATAAATAATATATCATATTATATATATATATATATAATGCATATTTATTAATTTATAATATATAAAAATATTAAATATATATAATATAAAAATATATGTATACCGATCGGTTCGGTTACCGCTAGTTCTCTATATTGGTTAACCGAAACTGAACCGGTACCTTCGGTTTTTTTAAAACACCGAAACGACGGGTCGGTTAACTGATTTTTCAGTTTGGTTTTGGTCGATTTGGTTTTTCGGTTTTTTTGCTCACCCCTAATGGGGTGTTTACAACTATCAAGCTTTTAAACATTCATATAGTTTGATACATCCGATGGGGGCGTATTGGACTTCGTATCAGGATGCCATTTTTTTCTTTTTTAGTTTTTTTCAATCATTCTTAGGGGGTTGGTATATCCCTAAAACAGGTCAAACCCCAAAAACCTCTTATTTAACATATCAATGACCCACCGATATGATACATATCGCATGATATGTTGTGAAATTTTGATTCTTGCATTTTATATATTGTTCTTTAATTTTGTAATCTATCTATCTATCTATCTATATATATATATATATATATATATATATATATATATATATATAACGGTCAACGCCAGCATTAGGGGTGTCAATTGGGCTGGATTTGGTCCAATTTGATACAGTCCAATCCAATCCAATGAATGTTTTGGACAAATTTGGACTGGTCCAATTCAATGTCTAGGCTATCCAATCTATTCATATTCATTTTGATTTAGATTGGTTTCAACTCAAACCTGGTCCATTGACACATATATTCTTATATTATATCAATGGACTAGATATTGAATTAATCCAACTCAATCCAATATAAATTTGTTATGGACAGACCTGGTCCAATCCAATCTAATAAATATTTTGGACCGGATTGATCCAATCCAATATGTCTTGTGGGTCTGTCCAATCCATTCAAATTGATTTTGGACTAGACAGGGTCTAATCCAAAATTGGTCCATTGACACCCTTAGTCAGCATGCCTCTCCTTTCTCCAAACCCCCTTCCTAATTTCTTGTTTTTTTTTTTGAATTTTTTTTAATTCCACATAATTGCCCATTAAACCAATAAGGAAAGAACATATGCTAAATTATCTCTAACAACCAATAGATAAAGAAATAGAGATTTGATTTTCTAATGTTTAGCCAAGTGGCACCACCATCCCCCACTTTCCCCTAAATTATCTCTAATTCTTATTTATCTTCTCCCCTACTTTGCCAAGTGGCACCATTATCCCCTACTTTCTCCTAAATTATCTCTAATTCCTATTTATCCTCTCCCCCACTTATATCTATCTAAAGAAAGTTTGAATTAACAAATTTAAAATATATTTAAATATTAAAAATAAATTATATAATAACTCCAAAATATTTATTTAAAACACCATAATCATTATAATAGATTTAATAATATTCATGTTATTAATAATTTTCATTTTTACAAAATTATTTATGAAATTATGTACTAACAATATAAATTATAATTTTACAAAAATGTTATTCAAATGATAAAAAATTAGCATAAAAACAAAATATTATTTAAATATTTTAATAACTAAATATCTTAAATAACAACATATTAAAAATAACTAAATAATTATAAAACAAAATATTTAGCATTATGTAATAACTTTAAAATAAATAAAGTTCAAATAAAAAATTAAATATATAAATAACAAAATATTTAAATAACTAAATTTTAAATAGCTAAAATAAAGAAATTATGTAACTAATTTAAAAAAATTCTTAAAAGTATAAAAATAATTATAATAAATTTCATAAATAAATCATTAATATTTTAAAAATTATTAACGAAATTATGTAATAATAGTATAAATTATAATTTTATGGATTATTAAATTCAATAACTAATTAATATTTTAATATTTTAAATAATGAAATTATTTAAATAACAAAATAATATTGTAAAATAATTTTACTTATATCAATTAATAATTCTAGAAAATAAATTTCAAAAAACTAATATTTATTAATAATAATTTTAAAATCTGAATCTATATTTATTTTATACTTATATATATTAAAAATAATATTTATTGTATTTTTAGTAATTATTTATTATTGATGAGGGCGGATTTGGCCCTCTAGTGATATTGTGACACATGACACTTCAGAACAACTAGGTGACACCTAGAACCACTTTGGCAACAACTTGGCCAAGTTGATGGTGTCCCACCTGGCGGCCTGGCCCTGGCGCGACCTGGCAGCCTGGCCCTGGCGCGACCTGGCGGCCTAGCCCTGGCACGACTTGGCAGCCTGGCACAAGCATGAGCAGGCAGCTCGGCACCTCACATGCAGCTTGGCACCTGGTCAGCCCGACACCTCACAGGAAGCTTGACACCTTATAGGCAGCTCGACACTATAGTCAGCTCGCCACCTAGCCTGCCCAG